ATGTTGAGGTATGATCCTTGTTGAGACTTTTTATCAGGAAAAGGTGTTGGATTTTATCAAATGCTTTTTCTGCATCAATTGATATGACTATATGATTTTTATCTTTCAATTTGTTTATGTGATGTATCACGTTTATTGATTTGTGGATATTGTACCATCCTTGCATTCCCGGAATAAATCCTACTTGGTCATGGTGTATGATCTTCGTGATGTTCTTCTGGAGTCGATTTGCTAGAATTTTGTTGAGGATTTTGGCATCTATGTTCATGAGGGATATTGGCCTGTAATTCTCTTACATTGAGTTGTCTTTATCTGGTTTTGGTATTAGGGTGATGCTGGCTTCATAGAAGTTTGGAAGTGTTCCTTCCTCTTGAATTTTTTGGAATAGTCTGAGGAGGATAGGTTTTAGTTCTTCTTTGAATGTTTGGTAAAACTCTCCTGTGAAGCCATCTGGCTCTGGGCTTTTGTTTGTTGGAAGCTTTTTGATGACTGTTTCCATTTCTTCCCAAGTTCTATTGAGATTTATAGATTCTTCCTGATTGAGTTTTGGAAGGTTGTATTTCTCTAGGAATATGTCCATTTCCTCCAGGTTGTTCAGTTTGTTGGAATAGAGTTGTTAGTAGTATTTTGTAACAATCCTTTGTATTTCGGTGGGGTCTGTTGTTATTTTACCTCTTTCATTTCTGATTTTGTTTATTTGGGTCCTCTCTCTCTGTTTCTTGGTTAGCCTGGCTAGAGGTTCATCTATCTTGTTTATCCTTTCAAAGAACGAGCTCTTGGTTTTGTTGTTCTTATGTATTGTTTCTTTGATCTCTATGTTGTTTATCTCTGCTCTAATTTTTGTTATTTCCTTCCTTCTACTTACATTGGTCTTTTCTTGTTGCTCTTTTTCTAACTCTTTGAGTTGTAGAGTTAGATCATTTGTTACCATTTTTTTCTAGTTTTTTGCAATAGGCTTGTAGGGATATGAACTTCCCTCTCAAAACTGCTTTTGCTGTGTCCCATAGATTTTGGATTGTTGTGTTTTCATTGTCATTTGTTTCCAGGATGTTTTTAATTTCTTCCTTGATTTCTCTGGTAACCCAGTCCTTGTTTAATAGCATGCTGTTTAGTCTCCATGTGTTTGATTTCTTTGTATTATTTTTATCGTAGTTAATTTCCAGTTTTATGCCATTATGATGTGAGAAGATGCTTGATATGATTTCTATCTTCTTGAATTTGAAGAGACTTTGCCTATGTCCCAAAGTGTGGTCTATCTTTGAGAATGTCTCATGTTCACTTGAGAAGAATGTATATTCTGTGGCTTTGGGGTGGAATGTTCTGAAGATGTCGATTAATTCCATCTGGTCTAGTGAGTTATTTAGGATTGATATTTCTTTGCTGATTTTTTGTTTAGATGATTTGTCGAAGGATGACAGTGGGGGTATTAAAATCTCCTACTATGATTGTATTGCTATTAATCTCTCCCTTAATGTCCTCCAGCAGTTTTTTTTTTTGTTGTTGTTGTTTTTGTTTTGTTTTTTTATGTATTTGCGTGCTCCTGTATTGGGTGCATATATATTTACCAGGTTAGCAACGGAATTAGGAAACCTGTCTTTTATTATTTCCCGGAAAATAGTTTCAAAGGAAACCAACTACACTAAGAGTTGCTGGGCCAATCCCTGGCATAGGCATGTAGGTGTCAATCTAGAAAAGCATTGGCTCTGCAGGTGGCAGTTGGCTGGCCCTCAGACGGGGAGGGAGACCCTCATCCCACCTTTCTTTCTGACCTCAGTGATTTACAAACAGAAATGCACGACCAAGTCTCCTCTGTGGAAAAGTGTGGCAAAGCATTGCCATTACTTCTGAGTGGCAGCATCTGCTGCAGCACACACACTGGGAATATGTAGTTTTGTGTGTCTCTGTGATGAATCGCATTCAAGATTACTACGTGCACCGTCACTAGCATTGTCCAACATATGCAATGCAACGTTACACGCAGCCCTGGAATCACACACAACATTAAAACAATCTTAGAAGTGCTATAACCTTTTGCATCAGGATGGCCCTTTTTCCCATTTCACATGTAATTGGCATGCAGACCATCCATGGAAGATAAAATTATATAAACAAAATTAACCTAATTCTGGCTTCAGGACGCTGTACTAATATTTTCTCAGGGCTGAATGTAATATTTGTGCTTAAGTGTTTCCTGAAATAAACTTTAAAAGTGTTCACTAATCTTGCTATCACTGAGAACAGACCTCCCCCAAATGGGCAAAACCTCCAGGAAAACATTGGTGCACCTCCCAGCCTATCATATGGAAAGTGATAGCATAACCGAACAGAGGTAGAAGTTGCTGTGTATAACAGCAACTTACAACCTTGGGGCCTGGAATACTAATCAGTGGCTAACTGGAAACTGAGCTCTAAATTACAATCCATAGGGATTGCTTACCGCAAACCACTGAGTTCACTGGGCTTCTTAAGGATCACTTCCTCAGAGGGACTGGTCATAAAAAGCCAAACCTCCCATAGCTATAGGAAAACAAGTCGTTTCTTTGGGGTTGGGAGGGTATAATTGGTTTCAAAACACATTAATATTGTATTTTTTTTCTTCAAAATGAGACTAGCCTCAACATTTATATGATTATGAAGTAATGCACATTCATTGTATTAAATTTTAAAGGTCAAGACCAAATGTGGTAGAGAATACTTTTTTTTTTTCAATGATACAAACAGAAGGTTTCTTTTCCCCCCCTTTTTTTATTGTTTAAAATATTACATACATCTCCTTTTTCCCCAATTGATACCCCCCACTCCTGCCCCCCAGGACAAGCCCCCACCAACCCAGTGTCTGAGTCCATTGGTAAATGCGCATGCATACAAGCCCTTTGACCTCCCCCACCCCCACCCCCTTCTCCTGCCTTCTCTTTGAGGTTGGATGGTCTGTTCAGTGTTTCTTTGTCTCTGGATCTATTTTTATTAAGAATACATTTTAAATCATCTCTGCAGTAATTTCTCCCCCCAATGATTGCTACTCTTAACATTTTAGTGTAGATCATTACAGAATCTCTATTAAAAGTATCTTCTAATAAGGTTCATGCTCACTTATAATATAACTAAAAATAGATATCATTTTTTCAAGTATTATATATTTTTGAACTGTTTTTATTGCATTCTCTTACATAAAATTAAAAATATGTGTTCAAATCATTATAAAAAATACTCAAAAGAATTAAAAAAAAACATATCAGTGTTACTTTCATTAGTCATTAGTAACTAATTTATGTGTCCATCTTGACCAAAATTAATGTCTTACAATTGCATTAACATGATGGAATTAATGATTTGTTATTCATTTGGAAAGCCAGTAAGACAGACCCTCAGTTTTGCAGACCTCAATTTTAACAGACTTAATTAACGGACAAAATTACTGGCTCATATGTCATATGTGAAAATTAACACCCTGTTAATTTTAAAGTGCTTTAAAACAAGTTTTGCTTATAATTAAATTAACAGGTTATTTGTCTGTTATTAGTTTTAACAAATTTTAGAGGAATGAACAAATGTAGGAGAAAACACTGTAGTAATTTCACAGACAAAAATAAATATTACATGTCTGCAACCATAGTCTACATATTTAAATCCAAGAGTCGCTGTTCGTAAACAATGTTCGGGGAATGATTAGCACGTGATGACACCGAATTGCACACAGTGACTGGTTCCGTTGTCGTGTGGCCTGACTTTCTGCAGCAGTTTAACCCGTGCAGGCCCATGTTCAATCTGTGCTGAGCCACCCCCAGCTGTGTGCTCTGGTTCACTCCTGGCAACTGATGAACACACGCATTTACTAGACCTACTCAGTATACATTTAAAGTGGCAGTAATGCATATAGAAAACTTTTCTGTGAAAGTAAATTTCTCATACACGCTTAATTTTAATTACACAAACGTGTCTACACAAGGAAAAAAATGGGTAAACAAATGTGTCAATTTTGAACATACTCATTTGGAAAACCTACTTCATCATATAATGGACTTTCAGCTTAAAAGGATGCCCCCTTGCCCATATTAGTCTGTTATATTGGGGCATTACTCTCATCCTATTCCTCCCCCCCTCTCTCCAATCTCTGTCTTGGTCCCCACCTAGTTCTCTCTGACCATTGGTGCTAATAACCTGAGTGACATTAACTCAGTGATGACAGCTGAAAAGTACAGGCTTTCAAAGGGGCATCTTTTTGTAAACAGTGCGGAGAGACAATGAACATGGCCTCTTTGTCCATGTGTGCATTGATAGCCATCAAATAGCTGTGAATAGATTCACAAAGAAACTAGTGTCCTCTGGGGAGGGAACTGAGCAATTGGAGGTAGAGGACAGAGATAGGAAGGGGGTTTATGCACCTCTTTATGCTTTACAAATGCTTATTATACTGCCGATTTGAAAAATGTGAATGAATGTACATATGTATTTGTATGTGTACAAACAAGAATAAAGTTACTAACTCCCTAGGGCACAGGCTGCTTCTTTGGGTTCCAGAATTTACTAGGTGCCCAGAGAAATGAAACCACTAACTGTAAACTGTGAGCTTATGCCGTGCAATGGAAAAACAATTTTACTCTGAAACTCGTTGCAAATGCTGTTCTATAAAAGGCTGTCTGAGAGACTGAGAGTGCCATGCTTGAATCGGTGGCTCCGCAGAGGCACTCCAGGCCTTGTGTGTGAGGGCACCCAGCCTGGAGGCGCACGCACACAGCAGGGTGGCAGAGAAGCCCCGAGGGAGGGCAAGAGGCAGACACTCTCACTCTGATCTCTGTCTTTTCTAAAAGCTGGGCCCTCCTGGTGCTTGGTGATGTATCAATAAATCCTATCGTGCCCTTTGGACGACATGCGTGTGATGCGAACAATGTTCATGTTCCCTGGTTAGTTACACTGCTCTGTGCAGGGCTCAGAGGCCCTTGCTATTTATTGCCTCACTATTTTATTTATTTATTTATTTATTTTTTGCTCTTGATTTGCAGGTAGTGAAGTCCAAGTTATCCAAAGAAAATCACTTGATTAAAATAAAACAATCAAGAAATCACACTGTGGGGAGCTATTTCAGCAACCAGAGCAAACTTCAGCAGCAACGGGACTCGCCGGTCAATGTTCAGTCGCCGTATCACGTCCGAGGCCCGATCAACCAGGTTTGCTCCGAAATCCTTCTCAGCAGGATGTGTGCGCCCACAGGAGCTGCCTGATGGGGACTGAATGTGGAACTGAAGACAAACCACTCCCCTGGATGATTGTCTAAGACCGAAACCTGTGCCTCCTGTGCTTTTCAGACTGACGACCCACCTTGATGCACACCAGCACACAGTCACACACCAATGCACATGTAGCTTTAAAAAAAAAAAAAGTAATGACACGTGTTCCTACCACTTTATAAAGTCAAGATGTGCACTCAAAAATCGGCTGGTTTTCCATGGGAAAGACAGAGCCAGGAAAAGGTTACTCAACGTATAATATGGACAAGAACCACTGTGGGCTAGGGATTGCATTGTGATAATAAAAAGAAACACAGCCACTTGAATTATGGGAGAAAGGCTAATGCGTTGAGGGTCGTGTTGTATTCTCTGTTGGCCCGTGAATACTGAGAAGGGTAAAAAAGCAATTACATTCCACTTGCAAGTAGGGACTGCGCTTGTGTCCTTCACCGGGAAAAAACGTGGCTTCAGCTTTGTGAATCTAATGCTTGCGAAAAACATTTTTCCTATGCTTTTTAAACATTATAATGGAAAGGAAAACAATAAGAATGTTCCACAAGGGAATTCAAATAGATTCTATGAGATGAGAAGTGTAATATTGGACCGTTAAAACACCAGGATGTTTAACTTTGCAGTCCTTGTCGTTTTCATAAACATTCCCTCCTACCTGCCCCTGAACTTGGATGGGCAACTGCAGACTGAGTTGAGTAAACATGTAATTTTTAATTGCAAAACAACATATAGTTCCCCATGTATGACTTTGTTTCATTAACAGTATTACTTAAGAAAGCTTTGGTTTGCCAACAGAGCCCTATATAATGTAAGGTTACAATTACATTTTATGTAAATATTTTGCCAGGGATTAGACATTCTCAAGTACATAGGCATTTATTTCCATAAAGCACATGTACATGTCCACAAATACTCCTACGTTACTAGTAACTATATTTTTATTTTCCTGAACAACTGTTTCTAATCCAAATTTAGAGTAGTCATATATTATTTTTTATTAAAACTGTGGCATACATATAAAACACACCTAAGTCTAGTATTTAGAACTTTTTCTTCTATATTTTCATTTCAAAATAGTAAATTCCTTTATTTTGCAAATGCTTGGTTGTGAGATAATATCTCACCCTAACAATGGTTTTTAAAGGATTAATTTCCTTTTGGGGGGAAAAGAACTGAGAGGGCTAATTCAACACATGGCTGAATTACCAAGTGTACAAATACCTCAATTGTGTTACCTTACTAAACATAAAACTATTTTGATCAGTGAGTTCCTTAGTATGAATATCCACCTCCTTTAAATACTCTATTTTTATATATATTTTTGTATGAAAGAAAGTAAACATGAATTTATATTTAACTGCCTTAAATTATATTTAAGCACAAATATCACTTGATATAAACAATACATATCTGCATCTGACAGATGATAGATTTTTTAAAAGAATGGTACAGGATTCACTTTTAAAGTGAACATGGTTTTTTTTCCTATTCTCTGCAGCTATACCATTTTTAGGTTTTTCCTTCATTTTTTAATGAAATAAGATGTTGCCAATTTATACAGCTTCTCAAGTTTTAATGTATTGCATTCTCTGTAACAGGATAATAGCCAGTGGCTGATTCTTGCAATTTACCATCAACATAATTACAATAACTGTCTACCTGACATTTGTCTGGCATTTAGCTCTTCACCATTGAAATGATCATGGATGTTAGACACAATTGTAATAACGTTATTAATAAATGTCTTAGTAGTATTCTGTGTTCCTAGAGTATCTTTTATTTTTCACTGAAATTATACAATCGTACAATGGTAGACACTTGGTACAGATATGATCATGCAGTTTCAACTATGGGAATGTGGTTTAATCAGATTACTATGCTCCAGCCCTGATAGTCTCTACATTTTCATCACATGAACTCCCTGCTGAACAGTGACCAAACCTTTTGAAGAGAGTTCTGTAACAAGCTTTTACCTTTTTTAAAGATAAGACACTGAAATGGTAGGAATCATTCTATTTTTATTTTTTTATTGAGGAGAGACATGCAGAGAAAGAGAAACATCAATGTTTGTTGTTCCACTTAGGTATGCATTCATTGGTTGCTACTTGTATGTGCCCTGACCTGAGAGCGAACCTGCAACCTTGATGATTGGGATGATGCTCTTCTAACTGAGTTACCCGGACAGGGGCTAGAAATCATGTAACTGATCCTTCATTAAAAACACTACCATTTATTTGATCAGGGGGAAACAGGTGTGTGTCTATGTGTGCACGTATACTAGCATTTGGATGTGCTTAGCAAGTTAATCATTTGAGTGGAAAAAATAGGAGTAGGCATTTTAACACATTTTTAGATGTAAGAGTTAAAGGGAGTGTACTTTTGTAAGGATTGATTAGTATCCAGTAAAAACTAAGCTAAACTACAAGGAAAACATGTATCGATATAATATTAAAAGCCATGAATAACTGCATAAGTATTTCCAAGCATCACTGTTGACATTGTGCAGGCATGTGTGTGTGTGTGTGTGTGTGTGTGTGTGTGTGTGTGTTTAATGGCTCGCTGTGCTATTTGCCAGCCAACCCAGTAGGCAAATCAGATCCCGTAGGGCAAAGGAAAGAGAAGGGCTCGCCGTTGGCGCTGGTGGAGTCTACACTTGGGTCATTTCGTCTTCCTCATGTTAGTTGCCCCTGTGCCTAGTAGTCACTTCTACAACACAGTGATTGCCACTGAAAAAAGCATTGGGAGAGGGGGAGGGGATTATTGATTTTTAAAATGGAAACCACTCTAGTAATGTTTATGGGGGGAGGAGGGAATAAGACTTCTGCCTCAAGTTCTTCCTTTAATTTTGCTGGATACTGGTTCAAAATTATGTAACCCAACCAGAGTTATTTCAAAACTGTAATGCTTTGGCATTGGGGGGTGGGGGAATGTGGGGGGAGCAGGGATCTAATGTCATAATAAGATTAATAGCTCCAAGAGATAATCAGGGTTATGATCTTATTAAATAGTAGAGGCCCAGTTCACAAAATTTGTGCAAGGGGGTGGGTGTCCCTCAGCCCAGCCTGCACCCTCTCCTATCTGGGACACCTTAAGAGATGTTCAACTGCCTCTCACAATCCAGGACTGCTGGCTCCCAATTGCTCGCCTGCCTGCCAACTTTATTGCCCCTAACCACTTCTGCCTGCCAGCCTGATCACCCCCTAACCACTCTCTGCCAGCCTGATTGATGCCTAACTGTTCCCCTGCCACCCTGGTTGACCCTGTCCTCCCCTGAAGGGCTGGTTGCCCACAACTGCCCTTCTCTGCTGGCCTGGTCTCCCCTAACTGCCCTCCCCTGCCAGCCTGGTCACCCCCAAACTCCCCTCCTCCCCTGCTAGCAATCTTGTGGTGGCAATCTTGTGTCCACATAGGGACAGCCATCTTTGACCACATGGGAGCAGCCATCTTGTGTGTTGGAGTGAGTCAATTTGCATATTACTCTTTTATTAGATAGAATTATCTTATGGGCTCCATCCTTTGAGCTAATACTGAAAGAATCATCAATATGTAAAAATTTTCTCTGTGACTTTTCATCTTATCGAAAAAAAGTCACCAAAATTAGGAGCTAGGATTATGTATTTAAAATGCACAAACAACTTTGAGTAAGCTCACATGGGGCTGATCACCTCAAAAACATGCATGCAAGAGTAAAAGGATACAACAGCAGATCCTACCGTTTTGCCTGGATCAAGCAATAATTGCTCTGCCAAAGCTTGCTGCAGTTTTCTTCAATGAATCACTGCAGTTCAAATGGCTTTGATTGCTCTGGGGCACGAAGGCATTTTGATAGATCACCTCGATTTAGGGGGATGAACCAGAAGTTGTTCATCTAAGACAGCAAGACACTGCCAGTGCCTGCAAACTAGGTTTTTCTACTTGGCAGGGCTTCCAAGGTTTCATCCTGTCAAAGAACCCTTTATCATGTTTTTATTGCTGGAGAAACTGCTATTATCCACTTCCTCGTTTCTTTTATGATGCATTCAGCTGGTGGAGGGGCTGGAGAAGCCATTTTTTCCCAGGTGATATACAGCCTCCCCCAATGGTGCTCCATTTGTTTTCTTTATGCTCCTTGAAATGGGAAGAATCTGTTTTATGACTCTATTGGATGTCAGGTCACTACACATCCAATACATACTCAAAGTACTAATTCTTAACCCATATCAAGAATATTTGTAATATGTAAGTGTTTGCAATGTAAATGAAGATAATACTTAAAGCCAAGGAATAGCAAGAATAAAATTAAAACAGCCACTTTTAGAGAAAACACTATAATAAGTGATTTTTATTCCTACATGGTTGTCCTGTTTAGGTAGATTAGGTTTTGAATTTGATTTATGCTGACTGGCCCATTGGGGGAAACACTGACTATTTCTAACTGAAATATTTACTTAGGAAATTTATGTGTAACATCATATGATTATTTTTATTTTATGAAAAGTAATTTGTATAAAATTCATTCAAATATTTTGATTTTTAAAAAGCAAAGTAATTACAATTGATCACTAGTATTTGTGCATCAGAATTCAAAAGTAGCATGGTCTCAGAAATGTAACAGAATTCTCAGTTATATAAGGACTTATTATATGGCGGACTACTGAAATACACTAATCCGATGCTGTTTTTAGGGTTAGACTAAGCAAATTAATGATAATTGTATGTGACATATATACACTGAGTTGCCAGGTTATTATGATCTCTGAATGCATATAATACAAGGCTAATATGCAAATTGACCCCTCGACCAGGAGTTCAACCTGCAGGCAGGCCGGCCAACTGCCCATGTCCCCTCCCCCTGGCCAGGCTGGCCAGACCCCACCCATGCACGAATTCATGCACTGGGCCTCATATATATATATATATATATATATATATATATATATATATATACACACACACACACATACATAAACTGAGTGGCCAGATTATTATGTGTTCAGAAATCATAATAATCTGGCCACTCTGTATTTTCTTCATTGTATTCCCAATTTTTTCACTAAAAATGTTCAAAATCTGTAGATTGAAAGCTTACTGTAGGGCATCAAAGTCAGCATTTTAATTTTCTTTACAGTCTCTAATTTTTAATTTGTCTATAATTGTTTGGTGTTAAAATTAAATCATCAATTTGACAAATAGGAAAAACAATTTAGGAACATTAAAATAAAATGGGCATATGTTGCAACATATAACCACTTGTATATCCACACATCTCCACTTAGATACACGAGGTGGTTGAGTGTCCAGTAGCCCTGACATTAACAGCTGACGATGCGGGATTCAGAATTTTTGACAGTAAATAATACATGGAAGTGAGTGGGTGGTACAAAATGCCTACACTTAAGTAAAGGAGACATGGCTGACTCTATTGGGCCCATCACAATCAGAGAAGAGTGGAAAGGGGTGACAGCACTGATCTTTACCCCAGAAGAGAGTCTCCTCCCCCACGGGGTTCTGGGATGCGTAGCAAGTCGAAGCACCCTCTCCAGCCGCCTTTGACAGACCTTGGGCTTCTTTTCAAAGCTATTCTTAAGGTACACCTCACTTTGGAGGGCCTCATTCTTAAGCGAAAATAAATAATAATTTTCAAGCTTTATTCCACCAAAAATTATAACCTATATTACCTAAAGAGCAGCCGAATGTGCCTTTAATGATACCTCCTTATTTCTAATTAGGAAAAATAGAAAGTGACCTCTCACCATCCACATGCTCTGTCCTCTGGAGAATTTGAAGTAGCAAATCTTCTGTCCCTTGCTTTTCTTCACCCCCATAATCCTTCACCCCCAGCGAACTTTCTTCCTTGTCTGCACCTTGGCCTGTGAAATGGAACACAGGCAGTATTTTCTGGGCGCATTTAATAATGTAATACAAGATACATTTTAAAACTTACATTTTTACGTTCTGCTCATGGCCTTAATTACATGTAACATGAAGCTTATGTTTTAATGGGCATGAGCTCTCCAGTTTTACAGTATCATAAAAATAAAAAAAAGTTTACGAGCGTTTTGTTAAAAATTGGTGCCTATGTCATTGGCAGGGCATGAAATTATTTGCAGCTACTTCTTCTACTTAGGAGATAAAATTTGATCTGAATTAAGAATAGTAGAGGGGGAACATGGAAACAATGCCTTTGTAACCAACCTGTAATGAGTTGTAGTTAAATGGCACAGACCTGGGTTCATCCACTTCTACCACATGTGCATTAGCCTCTAGGGAAAAGCTGGTCTCTGTTCAAACTTGTCTAGAAAAAGTCCCTTTTTCGCTACAAAATCGATGGTATGTTTTTAAAAGGGTGTGGATCAACCCTGAGCACAAGTTATTCCTGCCAAGAACAGGACTCATTTCAATAAGGATGGAGTTCCCGGGGCCATGTTATTGGTAAACACTCAGAACTTTCTCTTGGCCACCGTTCCTAGAAATAAATTGATATCGTCCCTGAATTATTTATGGATTCCCAGATGAGGCTGAAGCAGACAGGCCATCTCAGGTTCCTGTTTCCCACAAAAACGGGGAGTCTCGAGTGTAGGATTGGCCTACAGGGTGTTTTTCTGTTTCCTGGGGTCGCCCTAGTCTTTGAAGTGCTGAGTGTCTGGATGCCGATTTCTCTTCCGATGGAAGCCTCGCTGCATCGCCTTCAGTAAACTGTCATCAAATACAGTGAAAATACATGTTTTCCCCTCCTCCCCCACAACACTGACTTGCTGTGCTGCCTTTTTGC